GCTGGGAGGAGCTGACGCAGAGCCTGCCCAATCGGGGCAGAGGGAGGGGGGTCGGTCCCCACAGCGAGGGCCCTGTGGTGGAGGCCGGTTCCTGCGGCCAACCCTATAATACATGTTAAAATGGGCTAATAAAATCTCATGCTTCAGAGCAGCAGAGGTCAGGAAGGAAGGAATGTCCCTGCAAATGTATAGAATTGCACCATTGGCCTATGAGATATTTTTCACCCTTCAAAGGAATTGGCCTCTGCTGCAGAAAAATCTGATCTAGTATGGCAATATCTAGGTAATATCCTATGTACTTTTGCTGATCAGGAACACCAGTGGTAGTTAAAAACTTCGGGAATCTAAAGTTGTCAACAATGCCTCATTTGTTTGCTTCTCACTCAACCTTCTCCTTGTCTTTCTCCACTGTGACCCTTTCACATGAACTGATCTCCCACTTCTGGTCTTCCAAGTCACTATGTGCTTATTCAAATCTCTCCTTATGACTCACTTTGGCGATGCCCACAGGAAGTGACTCAAGAATCATCATTACTTAAACAAAAATAAAAACTTTGAATTGAATCCTCTAGCAATATACATAACCACATAATCTTATTAGCATAACCGTTGTCCTACCTCACCAATTCTTTCCCTACTTTTCATTACCTTCTTTGCCATCATGCCACATCTAAAATTAGATTGTAATTTCTTTGAGGCTGAGCCATTGTCTTTCTCTTTGTCCTGTAATGTGCATTCTACATGCTTGGACACTAGAAATATTTTTTTGCATTCTAAGTTGCTAGGTTGTCATGAAATTAAAGACATTGTAAGAAATATTCCTTTCAGAATATATTTCTCTTTTTGGGGGAAGGAAAAATTTTAAACCATCTGAATAATCTATCATAAATGTACCCCTTTCCCTAACAATTGAAGAATAATGCGTAAGTTTCTTGTTCACTTGTTGTAACACTGCACTCTTCAAGTCAAACATAATCACAGTGAATGACTACTTAAAAAAAACCCCACAAGTCTAATAACTTCATGATACATGCCAGGAACTTGATCGCTGATAGGACAACAATGTACAGCATATGTTTCACATTTTAAAATCATGTTCAGTATCCTCTCTACTATTTTTAATATATATATTTTTGGCAGATGGTAGACATCATGTCAATTAACTTTTCACAACATTGTATTGGGCGATGTGAAAATGGAATCCTGCTTAGAAATTCACTGGTCAGTTATTCACTGCTCAGAGTAATCAGAACCACATTTCTCTTTTTTTATCAGAAAAGTCAAAAAAATGTATCAGACTCCTCCAAACAGAAAGTGTTCTAGGATCTAGTCAGGCAGTGGGCATGTTTTCAATCTGCTGGGGCCTTACATCTGTTTCTGTGTTCCCTGTGAGTTTGCATTTTTCTACTGGTTTCTCTCTTTCCCCACATTAGCAGTTTAGGCCCATCTACACTACAGAGAGTTGCTGGGGAATCCAGTTACAAAATAGTAGCACAAAACATTGTTAAAAAAATGGATCAATCTTGTACTGTAAATCGAACAGGATCGAACCATCTTTTAGTCAATGTCCTCAATCTGGCCAAAGGTGGTCACTAGACCAGCATTTTCAGAGTAGCGTATACTGTCCTCTGTTGTACCCTAGCATATGAATACTGAGGGTTTGATTTAGTTGGGCCCTAGCTGTGGGCCTCTAGTGACAGAAGGCCATTCTACTAGGGGGAGGGGAATGTCACAGCAGAGTGATGTATACAGCTGCTCCACCAAGGGGCTGGAGCCAGCTGTCTTCATGAGATATACATCCAGCTTCATGATGGTCATAAGTAGATCAACCTCTCAGCTCTACATATTTCACTACAGTGGAAACAGTATAATTCAGGGCACTCAGTCTAAAATAGCAGATGACTATAACATTAAGAAGACATAGGGCCAGATTCTATACTGCACTTCCAATATTTTGAGCTGCTATAGGGGCCAATGCGGCCTCCTGATGTAAGTTAGAGTAGCTCTTCGATAGCTCAGAATAACTGGTGTGTTCCAGCCACTCCCCATCCCAATCCAGCCATTCCCAACTGCATGCATGAAGATGCTTGTCCTTCTTAGCAACAGAAGTTGGTCCAACAAAATATATTATTTCACCTCCCTTGTCTCTCTGCATGCAAGAAAGCAGTTTAGAGCACCCCGTGCCACAGCTGCTCTGGGATATTTGCTATTCCACTCCATGAGGTGACATAAAAGGATCTTAGCAGAGTACAGAACCTACACCACATTATTTTATATAGGCAAGAATGGTTCCTTAAAATACAAAGATTAAATGTTTCTTAAACCAAACAATATGGGTGCCCAATTCATTGGATTTAGTAATTTATTCCAGCTTTTGTGAATGCATCCCCCAGAACTTGTCTTCCACAGTCAATTTTAGTTCTACGAACTTTGGGCCTCAGTCTCTTCTTGCATCATTTTTTCACTGCCTAACTTTGTTGACTTCAGTGGGGTTTCCTCTTGATTTACACAAGTCTAACTGAAAAGAGAATCAGGACCGCTCAAATTAATAGACAGTATAGATAGCTGCATGTAGCTTGTGAAAAGGAATTGTCTATTATACCTGTTACTTTATTCAGAAATAGATTACCACATTTTGGGGCCAGTTCTGCTTCCATTTAAGGAAGTGGCAAAACTCCCATTAATCAGTGGTAGCTGGATTAGGTCCATTGTAGCTGGAATGACTGGGTGCGGAGGATGCAGCTTTAGTGTAATCTAAACTACAGTAGACATTTTACACTTACATCTGGTTCTATCTTGGGCTTTTTGGGAAATGTTTCAAGAGACAGAGGACCTGATTGAAGCCCACTGAAGTCAATGGAAAGAAGACAGTTGACTTCAATGGGCTTTGGATCAGGCCCTTACTTAAGTAATGTAGCAAAAAATCTAGAGCTTTAGAACAGGCAGCACCTAGCACAGTGGGATTTTGGTCCCTAACCAGGGTTCCTAGCATGATCACAATACAAAAAAATAATAAATAAATAAAAACAACAACATGGTTATACCAATGACCTGCAGATAGTGAAGATATTTTTAACATCCACAGCACTATCTCCAATAACAATAAAAGGTTTTTGTAGTGAACAACTGATCTACAGTGTTTTGCAGACTGCCGGTTATTTAAAAAATATTTTTCTTTAAATGCTATATTTAGCTCCAAACCACAATTTGGGGGAAATTGTGGCTTTTCATGATTTTCAGTTGATGAGTCATCTCATGGCTTTTCACCTTGAAAGCGCCTTTGACATTTTATTGCACTGTATAATGTGATGCAACTAATATAACTCATGCGGTGCAGCACAATGTTACAGATCAACTTTTTTTAAAGTGAGTATTGAAACAATGTTGATAAAGAAAATACACATTGCACAAATTAGCTGATGGGTCCTGACCAGATATGCCAGCCACACCCAGCTCCTCAGTTAAAATATGAAGTGAAATGTCATCTTGCTCAAAACTGTGCCTAAAACAACTAGATTTTAAGAGCAACTTTAATATATCTCAAAATAGTTATATTTTAAGGCAGTGAGTCCCCTGTTCCTAAACTTTTACAGGTTATGCGGATATGTCCAGCATTTATTTGTCGATTTGAAAAATCCACTCCCCTGAGTGACGCAGTTAAACCGACCTAACCCCCCCTGTAGACAGCACTAGGTCAATGGGAGAATTCTCCTGTCAGCCTAGCTACCCCCTCAGGAAGATGGATTACCTACACCAATGGCAGAACCCCGTCTCGTCGGCATAGGTAGTGTCTTCACTGAAGTGCTGCAGTGGTGGAGCTGCAGCAGTGCAGCTACGCCACTGCAGCGTTTTAAGTGTAGACAAGCCCTGAAGTTAGATAAGAACAGACTGAGGGCTTGTCTACACTTAAAATGCTGCAGATGTGCTGCTGTAGTGCTTCAGTGAAGACGCTATCTATGCTGATGGGAGGGGTTCTCCCCCATCAACATAGGTAATCCACCTCCCCAAGAGGTGGTAGCTAGGTCGAGGGGAGAATTCTCCCTTTGACCTAGTGCTGTCTACACTGGGGGCTAGGTCGGTTTAACTGCGTCACTCAGGTATGTGGATTTTTCACACCCCTGAGCAACATAGTTATACTGACCTAATTTCCTAGTGTAGACCAGGCCTGAGTGAGAGAGAGACAGCCTGAAGGAGCACCTGAAAGCCCAGTGTAGTGGCTGACTCTGGAAGAAAACTGGGGAGAGTTGTTTTGGGTCAGGGTGCAGTCTGAAAAGAGTGCTCTTGCTGCTGTGAGCAAAAGAATCTGTTTCCTGCTATTTGATTCCCTCCTCATTCAGAGAAACAGGACTTTGTGCATTCTTTGTAAATAAACAATACTGCTTCAAAGAAAGACCTGACTATCACTAGTTTCTGCTCCTAACTGGATCACCCACAGAACCTCAAATGCTGACTATCCACTTGAGTCGAGAAGGGGAACATCCCCAGAGCTGGATTAAAGAATTTTGTGCTCCCTCATGCTATGGAAATTGGAGTCCTCCCCACCTTCCTTAAACTAAACAGAGCATGTGATATACAGTCTGTAAATATGAGAATATCGCCATTTATTAATGTGTGTAACTGCATAATATGTAATCAGCATGCCAAGACTCTCGCAATTATAAATGCAAATGTGTATATACAGAGAGATATAGACAGATCTGAGAATTGGGGAGAAAGCATCCT